ATCCGGAACATGGTTGATAGGCGGGGGAGCAACCTCTTCCTCTCGTGGAGGATTGTCTTCGTGTTGGTTCATGGATCGAGTAGTGTTCGCCATTAGTTAATGGACGTAATGTTCAGGAGTGAGAATTTTGTCGGTTCCCACAGACGGCGCCAAACTGATGATGCACAAAAATGGTTTTGCACACCACCTGTCAAGTATAGATAATAAATGCAATGAAATCAACGAAAAAATTAGAGAAGACACAATTTATAGTGGTTCGGTCAATTCGACCTACGTCCACTCTTCAATGGCTTCAGTCGCCGGGTATTTTATTGATTCAAAGGTATGGAGAATGGATATACAAGCTTTGAGAGGGGGAATGGAGAATCAAAGAAAATAATAATCTCCGGTAGTCGATTCGTCTTCTGTAAGTCTCTGATGGAGCATGTGTTTTTTTTTCTCTCACAGATTAGAGCCATTTTATAGTAGATAAGAGATCATTCTTGTGGAGATCATGACATATCCTCAAGGCTTCTTTATCGCAGCTTAGAGATTATCTTTGGTAGAGATCACGAATTATCCTCAACGGAAGGGAGAGGTTGGAGAGCTCTTCATGAAACGTGGTCAATGATTGGACCGTTTTCTTCCTTCGGTGGTGTGGATAAACTTCCCGTGCTTTCCTCTTGGTGACGTGCTAAGCAAGAAGTCTAACCGGCCTTGGGCTGTTTCCTTTGGCGGTGCAGATAAACTTCCCGTGCTCTCCTCTTGGTGACGTGCTAAGCAAGAAGTCTAGCCGGCCTTGGGCTCCTTAAGGCGGTGCAGATAAACTTCTCGTGCTCTCCTCTTGGTGACGTGCTAAGCAAGAACTCTAGCCGGCCTTGGTCTGTCTTGGACTTGGTGGATTCACGATGAGGTTGGACTCCTCAACCGGGGTTGGGCTTTAATACATAAATTGGACTACTTGGGCTTAACCCATCAATTATTTTTTTTTATATTTCGATTTTACGTATTGTAGTTTTGCTTGTTCTTTTAATTTTTTCTTTAGTTGTTTTTTCCTTCTTGTTTTCGATTTGCTTCTTTATTTCTATTTTTTTCTTATTTCGTTATTTTTTTTTCTTGTTTCAGTCTGCTTCTTTCTTTCCTTTTTTTTTCGTTATTTTTTTTTCTTGTTTCAACATACTTGACTTTTTTTTACTTGTTTAGTTTTTAGTTGTTTTATTTTTGCTTAGTTCTTATTTTTCCTTGTTTCATAAATATATTTATGCATTTAAACTAATTGTCTTCTTTCATTATTTTTTTTCGATGATTACTTTCATTAAAAGAGTTTATATCGAATGAGTGAGTTAGAGTGTATATAGTATGAAGTTGATTTAGTTACTAATGGAGTAAGTTTAAAAAATGTAAGTTTAATAGTTTGATAATAAAAAATTAAATACGGTAGGAATAGAAATTTATAGGGTAAAAAAATATTTCACAATATCCCAAAAAAAAATATTTGTTATCTTTTGAATTTAAATTGTCAACATATAAAGAAAAAGTGAAAAAAATATATATTTTTTTTATTTTTACTAAGTCTTGCACACACAGTACTTGTGTGTAAACTAACAAAAAAAAGAAAATATGAGGAGGGTAAAATATTAGAATAGAACAATATAAATGGTTAAATACGATTAGATAAAAAAAAAAAGTAGATAATTAAATGTGCTTAAAGAAAAGATTATATTTATAGGTGGTTATGGGTAGTCATTTAGAAAGAAATAAAAAATAATAGTTTTATTTTACGAGAGGAGTCATAGGAGGTAATTATAGATATTTTATGAGTATTATAATCATTTTATTGGTATACAACAAACTCAACCTCTCCCTTAATTAATAGCACACCTTTTTAACTTTTGTTTTGATTTGAATTCATTCTCTCCTCTAAATTTATGAGTAATGTTATTTCAATTTAAAATTTTGATATAATTTATTAACATAATGATATAATTTTATAAAAATCATTGAATTAACACTAAATTTTAATATTTGTTGAGGTTTATAGTCGATCTAAATATCACAATAAATTAGATTAACAACTTATGTCAGATTTTTAAGTTCCAATAGCATTAGTCCTAACTTTAATTGCTTGTACCGTCTATAATTCTTATGTTTTAGTTCGGATTAATTGTATCAGAGGTCTCAAAGTATAGAGTTTGTATCATTTTAGTCTCCATTGTTCCAATTGCGTTATTTTAGTCCCTGAAGTATTAAATATATTCATGTGTAGTCCTTCAAATAAATAATGTTTATATTGTTAACAATTTTTTTATCATAAACATGTTACATGTTACTTAAATATGGACAAAAAAATAATTTGGATAACTCTTAACAAAAATTTTACTCAAATTTTGATTAAATAACTACTTAAATTATACAATTTTGATTATGAGCTATCCATTTTGGTTAAAAACTATCCATATTACACATTTTTTTGTTAAGAACTATTCAAATTTTGTTTAAGAGCTATCAAAATTATTTTTTATCTATATTTAGGTATTACATCATAAGTTTATAATAAAAAATCGTTAACAATCTGGATGTTGACTGCTTCAAAAATCATATAAAAACATATTCAATACTTGAAGGACCAAAATGATTCAATTGAAATATTAGAAAACAAAATAAAATAAACTTCATACTTTGAAGACCTCTGATGGGACATTTCCGAAATACTCTAAGATGAAGACACGTGTCCTCGGTGTCACTAATCCTTGTTACTGAGATCACGTACCCATTGGTTCACAAGTCCCTCTCCCCCGAGGTATTTGTCATAGGGATCAAGTGGCATCCAGTACGTTTACGTACCGACACGTATCCCTCGGTCTGATATGCGTACATCGGTCGCTATATGTACCAATCCCCCCTCGGTACCGATGGATACCAAATGTCCAGGATGATATTCTCTTCTCCTGCAGAGCTACTGATGTACAGGTCACTAGCCTAGGCTAGGCTAGGTTAGCTATCATGACTTCATCTTACACAATTGATGTCAAAAGACAAAGGAAGGCAGGGGCCATAGCCAATGGGAAATGGACGCGTGGCATATTGTGTCACATCAGAAATAGAAAGACAGCATGCCCTTGTTGACACACGACTTGGAGAATCAAGTATTTAATTACACCATTCCCTTGATGAAACTGCATTCAATGCGATAAGGCTCGGAAGTGAAAGACAATAAATGTCTCTAAGGCTGGACATTTATTGCATCCTCCCCGAGAGGAGCTCATTGAACAGTCGGCATGCCGCTGACATAGCCTTGGTTGCTCGGGATCCCGAGCAGTTAAAAGAGAAGACATTCCTCGTAAGAATCAATGCGCACGTTGCCTGTATCTAATGATCACCTACTGACCACACTGACAACAATCATGAGTATTTAAATTATAAATACTCCCCACAAAAGGCAAGATGGTATGCAACAAAAACCTTTGCTACAATATATACTCAGTGTTTTCTTCTTTCTCTCGCTAAAAAACTGACTTGATCGTCGGAGGAGATACGCCAAAAAACACTCCGGCGCCCTTCTAACTTGTCCTTCTTTATTCCAGGCACCTTCCTCAGCCTTACTGGATCGTTCCATTGGTCCACGAGGGTCTCCCATTACCGTTCTAGGTTACCACCAGACCTCACAGGCTGTCCCAGACAGCGGAGTTGACCATTCGATTGACTCACTCGAGTTCACCAAGAGAGAGATCTGTTTCTCGTGTTTATATTGTGCAAGATCCAGCACGCACAATCTTCTCGCATTACCGTTCCAAGTTACCACCGGACTTCACAGGCTGTCCGAGGCAGCAGGGTTGACCATTCGACTGACTCACTCGAGTTCACCAAAGAAGAGATCTGTTTTCGTATTTATATTGTGCAAGATCCAGCACGCACAACCTCTAATATAATTAGCCCTTTTAGTTCACCATGAATCTAAAAAAGTTTTTTTTAATCCAATTTTTAATTCCAATGAATGAAGACAAAAGTTATGCTATCTCATATCAGGTAAACATAAATGTGAAGGCTATTTTCAACTCTGACAAACAAAGGTCCACAAAAAAAATAAAAATTAATTGATGACAAAGTATTGAAGGAATATTTTCCTTAAAAAAAAAAAAGGGATCCAAGAGACGTAGAGAATTTCTCTAGCCAAGAGTGAAGTTGCAGAAAATTCGATTCCTCATGGCACACGCCTCCTTTTTCTTAGTTCTTTATAACAGCAGCTGGACATATTAGCCGTCGATCTTGGACAATTTGTTCGTTTTGCAAGAAACAAAAATTGAGATATTAAGTTCAGAACTCATTCTTATCTTATCAGAAACATTCGATCTTTATTCTTATGAGGTATTCTCAATTTTTACCCCTTACACACATAATAACAGCCGTTTATGTTTCTACATTTTCTTCCCTACTCGAATGCAGCAAGTCAAGCACTTTAAACGACACAATATCTTTTTAGGAAGGAACCAGCCAGTGCAAGACTCCTAAATTTCATAGGGCCATCCATTGAGGGGAGAGAAGTATCCTTCAAACAGTGTCCAGAATAGCGAGGGTTTTCAAAATTCTAACACTTCCATCCCTGTCTCATGTAATATCTGAGTTGCTTTGTTGAACCAAGCAATTTGACACAAATCATTTCAATTTAAGGCAAAAGGCAATTGAACTAAAATGTACAGAGTCCAACACTGGATTGAGAAGATGCCACTACAACAAAATGGAACATTCATTACAAGGAAGCCCACCCTTGGCCAACTATTGATGATGAAAGGTACAACTTCCAACATTTCTCTTTTGCTCTCTTTCAGCACTAATCTCTGTATCCCATAAATACATCATCATGCTTGCACAAGCGGGGTGGCATGTACTTTCTACCATACTGTTTGCGAACACATATTCAACAAATGGAAAACTCAAGCTCCTCAAGATGACACCCACGATAATGATACATACAACAGGCATAATAAATCACATGCTTTGAAGTTGTCCACACTCCTGTATGTTTAACCATGTTTCTGAGCACCAGGTGGTGCTGTTGGTATGGGGAAGTTATAGTTGAATTGAGGTCCTGCAAATTGGGGAGCTTCCACATACGGGCTCTAGAAGGTCCAAATTTTATGGAAGTTAATGAGCAGCAACAATAAAGAAAAAAAATTATAGAGTAAAGAGTAAATTGTGATAGAAGGGGAGATGAACTGTTTCCTTTTTAACTTTTCATCATAAGCAAAATACTAGGGAACTATCAATAATCACGAAAGAAAAAAAATTCAAAATCGTAGTCTGTCATGTCATAGCAAGTTGTAGACACGTGAATGTGTGCGAGTGGACAAATAAGCACAGCTTTACTACTCAAATATAAAATATAAGGATTTAAAATTATTAGTTATTTCCTTTACTAACTCCATTTCTTATTGAAACAATAAAACAAAAATAAGTTATTTTCTTTTTCAAGGTACTGATCTTTTCTCTTTCGGTTTCCTTTCTGCAATTAGTAATCTCAGACTCTAAGATGACTACATTACCAATGAAAAACTGTAAGCAAAATTTTACACATTCTAATGTTAATGCATTGATGATAGTAGTCTCTTGTTCTAACTGGAAGATTTCCAGGAAACCAGCAGTCTTTTATTTCCTCTGTGTTGAACATGGTTCAAGGTTGCAAAATTGACCATCGAGAACTCTTGAGACACATCAGTCGCAGTGTCGCGGTATATGGTGATACGACCTAAAATAAAATATTGAACATGACTAAAAGTCCAGGTCATAGTGCGATGTCGCGTAACCTTATCGTCTGATTTGGTGACAATAATTTGCCGACTCGGGATTAACTCAGATACAACTCAGACGACTAAGTCCAGTCATCCGAGACTCGGGATTTATACATATCATGTAACGGTATCATCTCAGAAGGTGTCATTTTTTAACAATCCGGCCACTACAATAAATATTTCTTTTGATTTTTCACCTTAGTATGTCTAGTCAACATCACATTTTGACTTGATATTTAGCACCCATCAAAACTTTAAGAAACCCAGAGTTTTAGCGCATATATTGGATGTTGTGCTGGGTGCTGTTTATGAAAAGCTTGTGTAATAGGGATCTTCAAGATCCGACGGTGAAGATTGGCTAATTTTCTTTAAGAATTAAGATTGACTGTAAGTTCATTAGCAGACCTAAGAAAACTACCACGTGCACTTCCCTTTTGACCAAAAATTCCCGGTCTTTCTCCTACGATTCCAAAGCCAATCATATTGGTACATGCAAAGGCTACACCATCTCCCAGGTAACCAACCCAAATAGCATATAAACCAATATATTTCCCACAGCTTAACATAATATTGACATAAAAGATAAAAATAGTCTGTTGGCAGCTAATTGAGATTCTCACATCAACTGCTAGTAGAATTCATTGGGTTCTATCTGCCAATCCATGGCAGTATATGTCTGGGGGTGAGGGGGAAGAGAGAGGGAGAGCAAGAGAGGGAAACAGAGAGAAAAAGAAACAAAAAAAGGTACCTGTAATGCAAATGCAGTGTATGAAGTCTCTTCAGTGTTCGAAGATTTTGCTGATGTATTCAGAGAACAAGCATCATAACTGGATTCACTTCCATCCAGTTTATGGACAGGACTGTTCGGCAGAATTTCACTTTCAGTCCCATTGGCTGACTTAACTCTCTAAATGCATATCGTGGTTTCACAAATATCAGGTATTTCAATAAAAAAGGATATTATAAGCCATAAAATATTAGAGAAATATAGGGGAGGAGACAACCTGAAAAATTTTGCCAAGAGTTTTCAACCCCTTCGCTCGCGCACGTAACTCTTCCTTTTTTGCATTGTTGTCTTGAAGAACCTGATCCAGACCACTGATTATTACCATAAGAGAAGATAAAGTACCAGGCATACTGATAGCAAAAAAAACAAAAAAATGAATTTTAACCAACCATCTGACAAACACGGGAAAGGGTGGCTTCAATATCAGCTACATTAAGCTTCCATAGGGAATCAATCATTAGCTTCTTGTGAGACTGCATGTATTCCTCAAGTTCTTCTTCGGTATAGTTTCCTTCGGCACTGAGCTGACGTTTCATATCCTCTTGCAGTTGTATCAAAGCAATTGCACCTATAACAAAAAACAAAACTTTTAGGGTAAAAAAGTAACAACAGTTACAGCAGACTGTACAGCTCTCATCATAAGCAGCAACCTATTGTGAAGTACTCAGTAAAATCAGCCCCAAAGGATACATTACGATGTGCAACAGCAGAATCCTATTGCGAAGAACTCATTAAAGTAAACATCCAAGACGACATGACTAGAGGCAAAAAGAAAATCAAGGCCCATGCTAGCAGTCACACAACCCAACAATGCACTGCTTATAAAACAGACATCAGAGCAGTTGATTGACTATCGTAGTGTCAAATGCAACTTGTTATGCATGATCAACCTATTAAAAACATTTTAAGGAACTACTCCAGAAAGCTGTTTACCAGGAGAAAAAGGAAAGCTAAAGAAAGAGGCGAGATAATTCAACCACAGAATAACACATACCCAGAATGAGCGAAACCAAAATATTCATTGATAAGTACATGTGGAAGTTGGAACCAATATACGAGCATAAGTAAGAGAACCAATGCAGATCCCACAAGCCTTGAGAGACTCGGAGAGCCCCTATACAATATTTTACCATGGCACCAACATGTGGAAGCTTGAAACTAGTTCAGATGCACATGTGAATCATAAACAATGACAGATGCTAATGTGTTAACTTAATTTGAGAAAAAGAAAAGAGAAACCCAAAAATGGTAGCTGCACATCTTTTGATTGAAGCCAGAATTATTCACTAACCTGTTGCTGCTGTAACTTGGGATTTAATGAAATGACCTTTATTTCTGAACCACTCAGCAATAAATGGCACACCCAAATATATCGCCTTCTTCCCAAGCTCTTTAGCTGCCTGTCTTGCATATATGTAGCCAATTGTATTCAACATATCAACACCATAAGCTGAGGAAACAGAAGATCAAAGGAATCAGAAAAAAATATCTTGCTGTTGTAGCATATCATTGGAAAAATGCAACAAAACCAACAAAACTATTGTGGAAAGTCTTCATTACCCTAGTTGATACAAACTAAGTATACACGTAGAGACTAGAGAGGTACTACTATGTGTGCCTTTGGTGAGTTGATTAAAATCAGGTTTAGGGGTGCTTTTGTAACAAAGGTCAAGTTGTGGGAATTATGCAGCTCTTTGGATGGAAGCATTCGAGTTGGTATAAATAGATGCCATGAGTCTCTCCCTATGAAATTTTGAAGAGTCGAGAAGAATTGCGTCAAGAACTACGGCTTGTTCTAAAGATTTGGAGACTTGGGTTTCTAGGAGTCAACCTCGCAGCCCTCTGTCACAGCTATACATGCGACAGGCAAGCAAAAGCCATTGGTTCTTGCTAATTTTCAAATCTGGATGGTGCCATAATAAGGTTTCTGTTTGTTTGTATCTTATGAATATAAACCCTCAATATTTGCAGCAAAGTGGTATCAAAACTTATTTAGTTGGCCCTGCTTGTTGTTTCGTGATTTGAGTATTTGCGTTGCAAAAAACACGTTTACAATAGGAAAAAGTGAAATCATGGTCACAGGGGCAAATATGCAACGATTGTAATGTTTGAAGCATTGCAGGAACAGATCAAAACCTTACTTACTAGGCTACGTAAGCTACTACTAACTGCCGTCACAGGAATAGAAGCAAAGTAATAAAAGACTTAATCATAAACTAGAAGTTTGGAGGGAAGCTTTAGACTCAAAAGAATTTAAAATAAGAAAGAGTAAAACTGAATTTATGAAATGTAACTTTAGTAAAAAGTGTTGAAGCATCCAACTCAAAACCAATTGACAATGAGTGGAGTGGTTCCTCAAGTATATAAACCAACCTTGGGTGGTCCTAATTATTTGGTGTGAGATATAGACTCTCTTTAAAAAAGGGGAATCCAAATTGAGGAGTGGTAAAGATTGAGGATCAAGAGATACTAAAGAGTGAATAGTTTCGATATTTGGGGTCAATTATCCATAGAGATTGTGAGATTTGTGACAATGTTACTCATATACTTAAGGCTTGAACTGGCATAAGAAAAAGTAAGAGAGGGAAAAGCAAGGGAGAGTTAAAATCAGCATAATGTGGAATAAAAATGTGGAAGAAGTATGAAAACTAAGGAGAAAGAATAGGGTTTGAAAAGGTGAGAAACAGTGAGAAACTCACTTCACCAAATAATGGATTGGTTAAATAGTGTCTGATGTTGATGAGATTTGAGGAAATTGTTCTTAATATCCAAGTCTTCCAATCTAGTGGTCCCGATTAAGGTTAAATAAGTGGATTATTTCACAATATGCTTTTTTTTTGAATCTCTTTGTAAAGAGTAGCTTTTTATTACAATCCCAAATTTTGAATTCTGATTGTTGTATTGGAAATCTTTGGTTTTCTTTTGACTGATGTTCCTTTGAATAGGTTACACTGAAAATATTTTTATGCTTGGTGTATTTTAGTTCACACACCACCAGACCTAAGAGGTCAGGTTCGGGGCATGACATTTTGTCAGTCATAATCCTTTATTTCTAGAAAGTTCATAGGTTTCAGGAAAAGAGTAGAAACCCTATTAGATGTTATAATAGGTAGACGAACTCCCAAGATAGATGTTATAATAGGTAGACAGACTCCCAAGAGGCTTCTATAAATGTGTTATCATTCTACAAAGATGTAACTAAAAAGGGCTTTACTCTCTTCCCTACCCTCTTGTAATTCTTATGTCCAATCTTTTCTTCTCCCTTTCTATGTGTAACCACTGGCTATATATCTCTCTTTATGGTTGTTTCAGTTTCACCCAAGTCAACCCGCCTGGTTGCCACTCTTCTTTTTAACATGAACTTGCTACTTGCTTTTGCCAACATTAGGCATCCTGTCAACATGGTACCAAATCAAGCCACTCAACATGCTTCCATGAAATGCCCTAACCAACTCATTCGATGCTTTTACAACAAAACAAACAGGAAAGGGAACAAGGAGTCCTTGCGTTTGAGGAAAAGACCCCCAAAGAACTGTTCGACCAAAAAACTGGAAGAATTTGATATTACAAAAAGCAAGTGTAATCCATCTCCTCTCCTTGCCCCAAAGTCCATTTTCTCTAACTTGTAAAACAATAACAAAAATCGATTCTGTAAAACCTCAATATCCAATTTACAGACTAACCCTGATTTGTTGGGCCTCCATATAAGCCAAAACTTCCAACAGCCTTTATGTTATGAGCATTACGAACATAGACTAACTCTGAAGTTTATAAGGAAACTGCTACTTCCCCCTCCTTGCAAAAACTACATCTAACCTCCTCTCTGCTCTTCTCGTAAATTTACTTGTCAGCTTCTTCAATATCCTTGCTCTCCATGAGCCAGGCGTCACTTCATTGCTTCTAATCTCTTCCCCTCTTCCCCTCTGTCCAAAATTTCCTTATTTTTTTGAAACTTTCTGAAGGTCAAGTTTTCCGTCATTAACCCTTCCGACAGACCCCTTAGAACCACCAAATCCTCTAATTCTTTTTTTTAATTCAAGCATCAACCTTGTAATACCTTATGTCCCAAGGGGGACAACATCAATTCCCTCCTAGCATTTTATGAAGTAACAGCCCCTTCCACCATTAGACTGCCCTTGCAAACAGCCAGGCTCTTCCCAGCCAGAGACATCCATTCGCCTCTGCCACCAATAGCCTCCATTCCAAAGGAGTCACAACAGCTTCCTCACAGGAATTACCATTACCAAAGCCACCAACTGAGCCCAACCTTCTTTCCTCCCATCCCATAGTCTTCTTTTCAACTGCCTTAGCACCAATTATAGGACCTGAAGGTAGAGCCACAAACCATCTTACAATACTCAACATTCACACCCTTTTAGCCAAAAGCTCTGTATGAAGTTCCTAAGAACTTTGATCACCATACCATCAAAAACTAAACATGCCACATGACTATAACCCAATAATATTCTGCCACCAACATAAGCAATTCCATTTTTTTAATAATTTGGCATAATTTCGGCCATCCCTCCCTTTGGTTGCAATTGGCCGTGCCTGGTACTGAAGCACATATCAATCTGGGATCCAGAAAATTTTTCTCTCATAGTTAAATGTCTACACTCAAGAGGTTTACGTAAAATAAGATGAACCTAAGGTTGCCATTAGGTGAGGGAAACAATTAAGAGCAACAAGAAGAATAAGGTCACACAATTAGAGAAGAAGATTCAAAAAGAAAATCTGATAAGACAAAGGCATGATCAATGATAAAGTACTCAAGCTATGACTTGCGCGAAATGAGACTGAATAGCCACTTTGAAAGTTTAGACTTGTATCTAATCCACACCTTCCAGCACCCTATGTAAGCAATACCATCATTGCTTCTTTTTTTTCCATGAATACAGACGAATCAGCTCCTATTGACAGAAGTTTCAAAGAGTCCAAGAAGGTGTTTGAATATCTATAAAGAGAAAACTGGTCAAGATTCAAGAACCGCATATTTCATGCCAAAGCTAGTAGCATTGATTGGGACCTACAAGAAAGCACTGAGAGAAATATGATTACATTTTACCTGCATCGGAGAGCCTTGATACTTCACCTTCAGCATGATTACTAAAGTCCTCTTTGTTTCCTTGAACATACAGATTAAGGCGATCTTTCAGGATTTCAGTAAGCTTCTCTTCTCTTTCTTTCTGAACAACCTGCAGTAAAAAGGAATTTACACAATGCATCAGTTCTTATGGCTTATTAAAAAGTTAATAGTTCCATCAGCACCAATGGTATTGCCTCTCAACTAAATAATTTCATTTCTAGAAATGACACAAACAATAACCAAGAATTAAGAAAACCTATGAGTCCATAAAATTATCTCTTGTGGGGGATTGACTACAAAGTAACCTTCCATGGCAGCAATATAGTTCTTCAAAATTGCATTACTTGTCTAGTCCTAGATGCAATAAAAAATTTCTTCGAACTTACTTACATCGAAGCTAATTCTAATTATATACCCTCAACCATGAGATGATCAAATGAAACCAACATCTAAAACCAAGAAGCAAATAGGATCCTTGATGATCCAAATCGTGATTTCATAATTTTTTCTTTCTTTTTTCTTCAAGTTTGTTCAAGCAATAGAGTGAAATTTGTACCCCCCATGCCCTACAAATATAGATAACCAAAATACATTTGGAATTCCCTGTAATTTCAGTAAAAACTAACATCCTTCATGCTTTGACGAATCTGAACTCCAAATACCAGTTGGTGCCTGAGCATCATTTTGTGTTTGTCACATGCATGTGTGAACTCCCCAAACAAATGAAGGAATCTCAGCCGCATTAGGGTCTGGCAGCAAGATTATTCAAATAAGAAAATGCCGTCAAAAGAAAATGTCCCTCAAAATATCATAAAGGTCATTTATATATCATTATTGTGGCTATCATCAAGTGAGTTTTAGCATATTACCTAAGAGAATATTTGGAGATATACAAACCATTTCTGTCAAATAACCCTGAATTTTTTGAGTATGCATACTATCATCTCCTGCAGATCCAACCACTGCTCTTACCGCACAGCAGGTGGAGAATGACACAAAACATCTTCTTGCAACTAAACTAAAGGTCAATAGCGCATACTCAGTCGCCTGGTTAAGGGATGCAAAACAGCTAAATGAGAACCAAAAAAGAGGACAAAGACGATAAAAGGAAACCATTCATGGTAATGAAAGACAATAAAAGTACATAAGCTAGTACACAAGAAAGCGGAGGGTTGCATTAGATTAATAACATCACATACAACTTGCCAGATCCATAATGAACATGAATCCTAAAATATAGCTGTACATTCTAGGCTGCACCCCAATGTTTCAAACATGCAAGGATTCCTGAGTCACTCTGGCCGAGAGCAAATAAAGAAGCCAATTCAGGTTAATTAGGCTAGTGACTTAAAATATAGGAATGGCAAATAAATGAAGCTAGTTTGAAACCATGATTAGGAGAAAAAGCAATTACAAGATGCTTATAGAAACCTATGTGGGATTGGATAAACATATTAAAACTCAATTTGGGACCATCTGAATGAATTAAAGCGAGAAACACTTGTAGACTGAGAGTATACGCTGGAGGAGACTTTAACAGTCATATTGGAGAAGATCAGAGAGGATATGGGATGGTCGATGGTGGACAACAGTGTAGAGATAAAAAAAAAAGTTGAGAAACCTGTCTTAACTTTTGCAACAACATATAATCCCATGATAGCAAACAACTATTTTACAAAGAGACAAATATTTAACAATCATTAAGAGTGGTTTTAATAGGAGTCACATAATTTTTTTCCTAGCTAGAAAAGTATATCATTTATTATGTAACAACCTTAAGATCATTCTAGGATAGAGCTTAACCACACAATATACTATAATTATATTATCATATTAGGAAGGATCAAAATTTTGTTTCGGTGCATTATTTCGGTCACCTATAAAACAAAAATGTTTTGAAAACAAAACGAAAACAGATAAAAGATTGAGAATTTATCTCCAAAATATTCTGAAATATAAGACAATATACTAAAACATCTTACAACACCATAAAACATTCCGGATCAGCTTTAATATTCTACAACAACTCGATCTGAAATTTGCATTCAACCACTGATTCATTTCTATCTCCTTGGAAATCGAAACATATGTTTTGACCATTTCAAAATAAAATTTTGATCCTTATTTATTAAAGGTTTGCAATCATTTAAAACTAATAAAAGATATTAAACATCCATAAACTAGATACGAAAAATTGAGAGGAAAAAAAATAACCTTATTTAGGGATTAGATGCTAAATAAGCAAGAAGAAATTTAGGAGATGAAACTAGGATTTATTACAAGACTTTCCATAAAGGTTCCAAAAGAATAAAAAGGAGATGCACCATTAGATAAGGAACAAAACAATGTCCAAACTACAATAAAAACAAAAAAAAGTGACAAAAAGGGACTCAAGGATCTTGGTACAAAATGATGAAATCAAGAAAGATGAAAAAATTACTTTTAGCAATTGTTAGAATGAAAATGATAGAATAAAACTACCATTCAGTGAGTAGCAAATATGAGTTTTACGTTAAATTAGGCTGCCTAAAGTAAAGAACAACGTTAAAGAAAATGAATATTAGACAAATTGTAGGACGTGATGGAATACAAGTGAGGTTTGATTGAGGTTTGGAAGTGTTTGAGATGTTTGAGTAAGCTTATAACGTTTATGTAAATATCTAAGGAATGGAGAAGAATATTTTTTTAAAAGGGGCAGTGATGGGAACAAGTGGCAACAACCTTATTAAGTTTATAAAAGGCGAGGAAAAGATGCTTCAAAGGCTCAAGCTTTAATTTGACACATGTTGGATGATGTGGAGTCTAAGGAACCAAATTTCCATTTCCATCCCATTCGTAGTGTCCAACATGCAATAGATGTTGTACTGGGTGTTCAATTGCCTAATCTATCAGCATATCACATGAATCCAAGTGAGCATGCCAAGCTAAAAGGACAAGTGGATGAGTTATTGTCCAAGGGTTCTATTCGCCATAGTTTAAGTCCATGTGTTATCCCCGCTTTGCTTACATAAAAGAAAGATGGTACTTGACGTATGTGTCTTAATAGTCATGCTATTAACAAGATTATTATCAAGTATCGATTTCCTATTCCTCGCCTTGATGATCTACTAGACATGATGGCTGGTTCTACTATTTATTCAAAGAGAGATTTGAAGAATGCGTATCATCAAATACGCAAAAGACCTGGAGAAGAGTGAAAGACTGCTTTCAAGACAAAAGATAGACTATATGAGTGGCCAGTTATGCCATTTGGTCTTTTTAATGCCCCTAGTACATTCATACATTTTATGATATAGGTACTTCAACTATTCATTGGTCACTTTTAAGTTGTTTATTTTGATGATATTTTAATCTATAATAAGACCAAGGAGAAGCACTTCCTTCATATCCAACAAGCTATGAAGCACGGATACTTCGTTGAGGTCGGCGTACCCGTATCGGATACCGTATCAGATACGATACTCGTTGGATAATCGAGGACACGTATCGGATATACCTTCTACGTATAATAATTAAATATTAGGATACTTCATGGATACTTTTGTGTTCGAACAACATATATAATTTTTGAATTGAATTAAATTTTTATCATCTCTTTTCAAATTCACATACCACATATAATATATTAAAAAAAATTCATATTGCTTCAAAGACACATGAGTGTTTTTTAAATGTTATCTACAATTACATATTAAAACAATATAAAATAAATCTATTACATTATGATTTTAGCAAAAAATACTTCTAAATAAACTGTCTAGGTAAATATTAGCTTTGGTTCCTTTAATTAGTTACTTTACTTTGTGAATATACAATAATGATACGATATATATTTTCTTAAAACTAAAAAGAATTACTAATTTTTCCTATTATGTGTTAAAGAACTACCACAATATATAAGTATTAAGCTAGTTGAAAATAATAAAAACATTAAATCTATTTTATTATAGTCGTATTTTGGTCGTGCCCATATTTTATTTTTTTAGATTTTATCATATTGTCGTATCCGTATCCATGCTTCATAGCCAACAAGTAATAAGAGTTCTTCGCCAAGAGAAGCTCTACGTAAACATGAAGAAATGTTCCTTTATAAGTTCGAAAATTGTGCTTTTGGGCTTTGTTATTTCTTCTAAAGGTGTGGAAGCCGAGCCGGACAAGGCGAAGAAAACTATTTGAGAGTGGCTGACTCCCTCTACTTGCATGAAATCTGTAGTTTTCATGGGTTGGCCACATTTTACTGGTGCTTTATTAGAAATTTTAGCACCATCATGGCACCGATCACTAGTTGTATGAAGAAAGGGGGCACTTCAATTGTACCAAGGCAGCCACTCAAGCTTTTGAAGAGACAAAGAAAAGAATGACTGAAGCTCTAATTTTGTGACTTCCAAATATTTCAAAGATGTTCAAGGTAGCATGTGACACATCACATGTGAAAATTAGAGGTGTACTTAGTCAAGAAGGACATCCTATTGCTTATTTTAGCGAGAAGTTAAATGAGGCCAAACAAAAATACTCCACTTACGACAAAGAATTTTATGTCGTGGTGCAAGCACTTCATCATTGGCAGCATTATCTCATTCCCATGGAATTTGTATTTCACTTCGACCATGAAGAACTTAAATATATCAATTCCCAAAAGAAGCTGAAAACATAAGGCTGGCGTTGAGAATAAAACAGTTGATGCATTAAATCAAATGGTGCTTATGCTTTCCTCAATGAATACACAAGTGGTGGGTTTTTATTTGCTTCAAAGGGACTACCCATCTTACAAGGATTTTGGCAATATATATACTAATCTTCTGGACAGCATGCAGCATATTCAATTTTTTTCTTACGGGATGGTTATCTCTTCAAGGGAATTCGTCTTTGTTTGCCTAACACATCTCTACGTGAACAAGTGATTCGAAAACTTCATTCTAGTGAGGCAACAGGTCAAACCATTGTTATGGTTGAAGACCATTATTATTGGCCAAGTTTGAAGCGAGATGTAGCCGCAATTGTCTCTCGATGTCGTACTTGATAAATATCAAAGGGAAGGAAGAAAAATACAATTTTGTACGTGCCATTATTTGTTCCTCATGAACCATGACAAGACTTAAATATGGACTTTGTCCAAGGGTAGCCAAGAACCCTTTGGGGTCATGATTCTATCTTTGTGGTGGTGGATCGATATTCGAAAATGGCTCATTGTGTTCCTTGTTCGAAGACTTCCAATGTCGTCCATATTGTTAAACTTTTCTTTAAAGAAGTTGTTCATGTTCGCGGGCTACCTAAAACTATTGTCTTGGACCATGATTTGAAATTTATGAGTTACTTTTGACGAACTTTATGAAAATTGCTGAATAAAAGATTGAAGTTTTCCTCCTCTTTCCATCCCCAAACCAATGGATAAACGGAGGTTGTTAATTGAAGTTTGGGGGATCTCCTTCATTGTCTTGTTGGTGATCATGTTGCTAATTGGGACCAAGTAGTACCTATGGTAGAATTTGCTTGCAATAGCTCTATAAATCGATCTATAGGTTACAACCCCTTTGAGAGTGTAACGGGTTTACTTCCTAGGAAACCCACAGATTTGATTTCCTTATCCATTGAGGCTCGTCCTAGTGTTGTGGCTGATTTTTTTGCCAAACATATGCATGAGATACATGATAATGTGCGACAAAGGATTGCACCAAGCAATGATAGCTACAAAACACATGCTGATTTGAGAAAAAAAAGTTCGTTGAATTCAAGGAGACATGTTTATGGTTTGTAGTAGGCCCGAAAGGTATCCTAAGGGTGCATACAACAAGCTTCATTCAAAAACTGTAGGTCCTTACAAGATTATGAAGAAAATAAGCTCTAATGCCTATATTCTTGACTTGGCAGAAGATATGGGGATAATTAATGTCTTCAATATTGAGGATCTTACTTTATATCAAAGGCATGATGATGATGAACCTAAAGATGTTATTGTTGCTATACTATCACCAGCTCCATGGGTGAAGAAAGAGATTGAAAATGTTATTGATCATCAATTTGTGTCTACTAGATGAGGCAACTATCAAAAGTATCTCATCAAATGGAAGGGGCGTCCACTTTCTAATTGTATGTGGATTACTAATAATGAGTTTCAATGCCTCAACCTGACTTCTATGAATGGTTCCATGTATTTTATTCGTTGGGGCCGAGTTTCTTTAAGCTGAGGATAGACGATGGGGACAAGTGGCAACAACCTTATGAAGTTTATAAAAGATGAGGGAAAGATGCTTCTAAGGCTCAAACTTTAATCGACACAAGTTGGATGATGTAGAGCCTACTTGGGAGCTTGCATAAGCATGATTGGAGTGTTATTTTTAATTTCTTTGAGTTTGTTTGGTAGTATTAGTGTTTTATAGGATTTTTTTTTGAGCAGGAGGTATTTTTGTAAATTTTAGATTCTTTGGAATGGGTCATAGTTCGACCCGTGGGTCATCTTTTGGGTCAAATTATAGTGTTGGATGTTCTAGAATTTAGAGTCCTAATTTTAGTTTATGTTAGTTTTTGAAGTTTTGCAGTCCTAGAGACTTTAGAATCCTAACCTTTTAGGATTAGAAGAACTTATAACTTTATAAATAGTTAGTGATATTTTTAATAAAAAATAGAGATAGAAATTCTTAGAAAATTTCAGCAATTATATGTTTTTGAGTTGTGTGATGCAATTCTAACCCTAGGTGTGATGCCTAAGGAACCGTAGAAGCGATTCCTATTACTGCGGGGTTTGGAAAGAGTTAGATGTACATAGTCTTATCTTTGCAAGTGTAGAAACTATTTTCACAACTCGAACAACTTGATGCCCAAGTTATAATAGAGCAACATTATAGTTGCATTCATAAAAACAAATGAGATATCTAAAGTAAGTCAAATTATCTAGGTATTGTGTTAATAAGTCAAAATATCAGACTTTGGACAAGAGTGATCAAACATTGATTAAGATTTGAAACATCAGTATTTGAGAATCAATTTTGATTTATGCCTAAGAAGTTAACAATGAAAACTATATATTTACTTAGGAAATTGATGGAGAGGTATATCAAGAAAAAGAAAGACCAACATATAATTTTTAGACTTAGAGAAGGATTATGATAGATCCTAAGAAATATAATATCATAAGTATGTTGATATGATTAAGAATGCATACAAGTGCAGAGTAACTTTTGTGAGAATAACTGAGGGGAATATTAATGAATTTTCAATCATTATCGGTGTACACCAGGGTTTCACTTTACATTCGTTGTTACGGACAAATTTACTAAAACCATCCAGGATGAAGTCTCATCATGTATCATTTGCCAACGATATTGTACTAATTGCTGAAAGTAAAGTAAAACTTAATAATAAGTTAGAATTTGGACAAAAATCTTAGAATTAAAAGGATTCAAGATAAATAGGAATAAAACTAAATAAAGGCAAAGAAATTTAAGTAACTATAGACATTCTTATAGCCATAGGGAGGTAGTAAAATTGAACATCAAGCAGCAATTTACCCATGGAATGGTAAATTGGAGACAATGATAATCATGGAATTAAATCATGATGGACTAAGAGGAAAGATGCATCTGGTGTTCTGTGTGATCAACGCATATCTCTTAATTTAAAAGCTAAGTTCTACAAGATAAGTATTGGACCAACATTACATTATGGTACATAAGATTGGACAATTAAGAGGTGCGTTCAAAAACTAAGTGCAACAGAAATAACAATATAAATGGACGAACCAGAAAACATAGAATTAAAAATCAGTAAATTCTTACAATGGTAGAAATAGCATCAACCGGAGATAAATTAAGTGAGAAACGACTTAGATAATTTAGACATACTTGTGGAAAACCTATTATTGTGCCAGTGAGGAAGAATAATGTGTCATTATTCATGGTAATGCAAGGTGTAGAGGCAAACCGAAGCTAACTTTGAATGATATATTAAAGAACAATTTGATAGATTGTGTTTATACATAAAACATGAACCTTGATAAAACACAATGGACCAAGATTCTTTTAGCCAACCCCAAATATGTGAAACAAAGCTTTGTTAAGTTGAGTTGAATTGTACACACAAAGGAGGATGGTGGTATTTGCTTGTTTAAGTTAATGGTGTCAAGATTTTCCTCATTTCCTCTCAAAACCTTTATTTCCTATAAAATCACAGTGCCATGCATAATAATAGTCATACATTAAATAATACCAAAAAAATATACCCTCATTTTCTCTTGCAATTTTTTAGCATCAAACTCTTCGCCTTCAGTGATAATATCCAAAGAAGCCATTGATGCCATGGCAAGCTGGCCAATGTATTCCTCAAAAAGCTCACTCCCAAAAAGCATTGCAAAAATTGCAGCAGGATCGATTATTGCCTCACTGCATCAAGAAGTGTGCAAGTTTGCATCAGAAACTGAAGGTTGAATAGCTAAATCAATTTAATAAAAACTTCGATGCTTGCTTCTGCGTTCATATAGTACTCGAGGTACAAGACCCTGTATTAAATTTTTTTAGAAAACAAGAACAAGAAACTGACGTCGAAATTCCTGATTTCCCATAAGCATCATAAGCCTGCCGTTGGGTGGGATCACTCAATACTTGGTAAGCCTCTCCCAAAACCTGAACTCAAAAGAATGACAGTTGATTCAAAAAGGTACAAAAGTAAACACACGGTTCTTACAGCATCTTCAACAAACATGTCCTACTTATAGAAACCAATTCCAGATATTCTACAGAAAACAGCTAGTTCTTTGCTCTTTTATTTTTTTGATAGGAAACAACACTTTCATCAATTAAAGCAAAGTATAAAAAATAGATGGACAAGAAATCCATCCTATGATGAACAAAAAATAGGAAAATACAACAAAGTCTCAAAGAAAAGCATTTCATCCCTAAACACATTCATTGCTCTTTTATATCTATAAATTGATCAAGATAAGTTCATTAAGGCTGTCTCTGGGAGGATAAAACCATTCATGGTACAACAGAAGCCATCTTTTTCTCTTCCAAAATTCTTTTTGACAAACAAAAGCTCCAATATTTTACAAGAGGAAAAGTTCCAAATGACCCAAGGCATGAACAAATGAATATTCAGCCCAGTGTTTCATCCTGGGATATGATGTCTTTATCCTCCATTCATCTTGCTTGTTTTGTATCAGTTTTTGGTGTGTGTGCGACATGAGATATATGAGGTAATCTGAAACTATAGGCAACATGTGTAAATATTTCTAGAGAATGGCATCATAATTTAAGATCTTTCTAGTGGTATTTTGGAATGAAGTCTCGCCTGAAAATTTTGAGCTGCAAGAGGATCATTGGGGTTTTTATCCGGATGGACCTGTCGGGCCTACAACACACGAAGAAAAGTTATTTACAAGACAAAATCAGAACATCTCATTCATTCTTAGTAGTCATCAAAGATAACAGGAAGAAAACAATCAAAAGTCTACAGACCAGAAGAGGATCTGCACTTGATATATAAAACACATAAAATCCCAATGCAATGAGTAGAGCTGAAAAATTGTGAATTATGCCTCAAACAAGAAAGAGAGATGCTATTTAGACTTAAAATGTTGACATGATTTGCTGTCTTGATCAATTATAACCATTGAATAGGTAGTAGGTCCAAATAAATGTTAGGACCCACAATTAAATCAATGGCAGTGATTGATTAAGTCAACAAAGCTGGTTAACATTAGGACCAATTCATTGTCTCAAGAAAAAAATGTCAATGTTGTATTTATGTTCAATGTTTACCCACAAAACTATACCAACCCCACCAATGTGGCAGATTGATGCAAAGTACCCTGCTATTTATTTGCAAAACTATAAATCAACTAGTAACAACATTAATGCAAAGACAACAAATGATAAATATAACACATGGGATCAAAATGCTAAAATGGAAAAATATGAACATAGTAATGCTGGTTTCATGGTTGACACAAAAGAGAGTTGATTTCTTTAAAATAATGTTGTAGCCACGGACCAAAATTGTGAGTCTGTACGAAAATGTCCCAAAAACAAAATGAAAACAGAAAAAGAGTTTTTTATTCTAAAACATTTCAGAATATTCCGAAACATAGAACTTTCAATTTTCTATCACTGTTCATTTCGGTTTTCAGAAAAACCAAAACATTTAGATCATTTCGGTGAAAACATAACAAAATTTTAATCCTTGGCTATAGCATTGTGGTCTTATACTAGAATAAGAATATTAACTCTAAATTTAGGCTACAATATATTTTATAAAGCCATACTAACGATATGTTGGAGGTGAGATGAACTTATAAAGCTTTTGAGTCCTCATGTTTGTTTAACTTGTATGAGAAGTGGAGAGTCAAATGCCCATTTAGTTATTTCACAATTCCTTTGCTTGGAGGTTGTGGAATAAATTGTTCAATGTGATTGGAGAGTTATGAGTGTGTCCAACTACTGTGGAGGAGCTGTTGCACATTAAATTTTGGGGTTTTGGGAAAAGCAAAAAAGCTAAGGTTTGGTTGAGTTGTGCATTGATTTTAATTATTTTTGGAATATCTGGTTACAGAGGAATTCAATAATTTTAAAAAAACGATCTATTACATTACAATTTGTTTGGGACAAAACTATGTTTCTCGTTTCTATATTGACCAAATCCATGAGAAATTTTAAAGGAATATCTTTGTTGGATCTTCAAAGGGATTGGATGTTCGCCCTATATTAGTCTTTTTTTTATTTTCTATTCTTGCTATTTCATTTGCTTCTTGTTATTTCTAATGAGAATATCTTGTCCTATATATTGCAATTTTTTCTCTCTTCTCAATCTAAATAATATACTTCTTCATTTATAAAAAAAATATAAGCCATAAAGTTTTTGCGGCATGAGAATATTTTGGTAATTACGGTTTTGGGCCATAGATTAGGTTGTGAAGACATTTTTTCATTCAAGATTTGAAGAGTGCCTAAGACCATATATAGATATATCTCAAAGGCCAATTCTTGGAAATGAAGGTAAAAGACTTGATCATTTCTAATCCCATTAGATTTGCAAACGGGACCCAAATACATAACTAAGCCTGCAAACAACCATCCAGCCAACTAACTTTCCAGCCATCTTTCCCTAGGCATCATTACCCAATAACCTAGGTGTGATTGCTCAAGCATTCCTCTCCTTATTTCTTTTTTTTTAATTCCCAATTGAGTGTGACTAATTCTTAAGCGAGTAAGATGTTTCTCAATTTTCTAAACTTGGACACTGCAATGATTATACCAAACAACATTTTAATGTCACCAAAATAGAAAGTTGCAAAACCAAGAGAGAGACTCTAACACATGGTTTTCGCTCGGTTATGGAATAAGGTGGAACTCTTTGTTAGAATATGTGGAAAATTAGAATGATGGGTATCTTTGGCATTTTGATTTTTGACATACGTACTATTTTAAATAAGAGTGTAGAATGAGACGAGTCATTCCACTCTTTTCAAGAAAAATTATCTTCGTCTCTATTTCTCTTTTCCTTTTCTTATTCTTCTCGAGCCCTAATATTGCAACTATTGAATTTCAATTTGGTATTAAAGCTTCAATCAAGACCCGTACTTTGTTGAAAATATAGTGAGAGACATCAACTAGAAAAAGGATTCAAGAGATGTGCCAATGTCATCCCCAGAAGCCAGAAATTCTACTTGCTAGGATCAAAGTTTCATAGGCAATACACTGGTAGTATTTTCAGAATTTTATGAAATTGTTTGAGGTGTTTTTTGATTTTTCAAATGTTTTTTGCAAAGAGTAACCGCAATTTTGCAATCTCTTCTTCCTAAGTTTTTCCAAAGCTTTTTCTGGTCTATATCTGCCCTTAAGGGTGCGACTAAGCCTTAGAGACCTTGTTTTGTGAGCCCAAGATCATTCAAGTCAAATTTGGAATGAAAAGTGGCCAGGTGTTGATCGGCTCCACCAAAACAGACTCCTTTTTTCTGCTGCATGCTGATACTTAACTATTGGTTGATCAAACTTGGTAAATCAGGTTGCTTGAGCCTTGGTTTGTGATTTCTTGGTGCTAGTTGTGACCATTAGTGATCCCCTTGTAGTTTTTGTTTGCTGGTTGGGAATTCACTTCAGTTTTAGGTCTACTATAATAAAATGTCAAAGGTTAGCCAAGATTTCAGTAGCTCTGGTAGTGGTGTATTGATTCAGTTTAATACCTAAAATGAAAACCCTACGCTACTAATTATGACGGCTAAGCTTGATGGCACTATTTATCTTGCATGGTCTCAGTTGTCATTATTGTTCATTAAAAGCAAAGGAAGGATGGGTTACCTTGATGGCACTATTGTCGAACCAAAGAGTACAGATCCACTATTTGCGGAGAACTCTACTGTTATGTCATGGTTTATCCATTCCATGCAACCTGATATCAGTACTGGTTTTTTGTTTTTAAAAACAGCAAAGGAGATACGGGGAAACCACTTCTTAGACTTATTCTCAGTTGGGAAGTGCCGCTCAGATATATGACTTAATGCGTAGAATCCATGAACACAAGCATAGATATGTGGTTCTAGCTACTTATTATACTATATTGTGAGGAATTTGGTAGGAGTTGGCTCAGTATCAGGTATTTCAGGCTGATTTTCTTGGGGCCGCCCATAAATTTAAAAGGATGGTAGAATAGGAGTGCTTTGAGTTCTTAGCTGGTTTGAATATGGAGTATGATACAATTCAAAATCCAGATTTTAGAACATGATCTTCTGCCTTCTTTCAATCAGGTTTTTCTTATGTTCAAGGAGAGGACAGCAGAAGGAATACTATGTTTCATTTGTCGGTTCAGGAGCAATCTGCTCTTGCTTTTGCCTCTCAACGAGAAGGCAACGGGATTAATAAGGCAATAATAGTAGTTGGATTGTTGCTCCTACCTCTGATGACAAGGATAAGTTGGTAGGTGATTATTGTGACAAGTCAAGACACACTAAAGAAAGTTATTGGAAACTACACGGTCGAGCTACTCAAGGCAGGGGATGTCGTACTGGAGGGATAACTTGGTCTCATACTTATATTACATCCATTGACTTTTTAGTGACTTCTTTAGCTCTTGCTTCTGTTTTTGAGACTCCAGCCTTTTCTACGGAGGAAATTGAGTCCCTTCGACTGCTCATGGCTCAATTAGTGCCTATTGTCATAGTTAATAGTATCGTACAATACGCGATATGTATCGTACAATACACCTGAAAAATAATACGTATCGTGTCTCTGTATCGTTTTTACATTGTATCATACGATACACGATACGATACGATATATCTAATACGTACGATACGTGACGATTCTATTTTTTTATTTTTATTTTTTTGTTTTTTGGGGCTGAAATGATATCGTTTTATCTTAAAACTTATTTTTAAATCACTAGTCAATGAAACATCGTCGTTTCAGTAGGTATGGTTTAAAAAAAAAATAATAAAGTCTACTGTTAATGTTGTTCAATTGAATTCAAAATTCTTGATTAATATTAAGGTTGTTAAAGCAGTTGATGTTAGAAATTTGAATTATAGGTCTTTGCATTTTGATATTACTTAACTATGTTGTTGTGAACTTGAATAGTTGCTTGTGCGTATCTTACAATACACGATACATGATATGATACATTATTTTTTAAAAACGATACGCCTTCCAATACGTCTACTGTTAATGTTGGGCCATCTGCGGATCAAATCATTCAATGGCATTAGTGCCTAGGCCATCTTTCTTTTTATTTATTCAGAGACTATTTCCTACTTTGTTTTTGAAGTTAAATGTTTTTTAATTTTATTGTGAAGTGTGTGAATACTTTTGTTCACTATGCATGTTCCAAAAATATTCCCGGGAGATGTCCTTACAACAACCTACCACATCAACTGGATGCCCTCTTGTATTTGTATCTTTCAAATCTCCTCTTGAGATCTTGTGTGTTTATTCTGCTTCATGTATTTGGTTGTCTCTATTTTGTTCATATTTGTGGTCAGTCTTGCGACAAACTTGATCTAAAGGCCTTGTAATGTGTTTTCTTAAGTTATTCCACCACTTAGAAGGGATTTCTTGGGTTATTCTGCCACTAAGAAGGGATATCATTGTTATCATCCTCTTACTCGACGTCAATTTGTCAATATGAATATCACATTTTTTAAGTCCACATCGTACTTTTCTAGCCCGAAATCCGAGTACTTCTCTTCAAGGGGAACCTACTTTTGAAGAGCTGTCTTCTTCTTCGATTCCTCAACCTTCCTCTCAGTTTGTCTTCTTCCTTAATTCCTCATCTTTTACGTCAGTTGAAATATGTTTTCTTAGGTAATTCTGCCACTTAGAAGGGATTTTCTTGAGTTATTCCGCCCCTCGAAAGGGATATCATTGTTATCATCCCCTTACTGGACGTCAATTTGTCAATATGAATGTCACATTTTTCAAGTCCACAACTTACTTTTTTAGCCCAAATACTATTCTTCAAGGGGAGCCTACTAGTGAAGAGTTGTCTTCTTCTTCAATTCCTCAACCTTTACCTCAGTTTGAAACCAAAGTCTCTAAGCGCCCAGTTTGCGGTTTCGACAAAGAGGGACCTGGTTCAGGGATTAAAGAGATATTCATTTACTTGAGAAGAAAAAAGGGTAAGATCACTAAGCCCTCTCATGCTAATTGCTAGTTAGACTCTTCGGATCTAGGCAATATTTCTCATCCTTCTATTGCTCATCTTCTTCTTTCTGTTTTGGATGATGTTGATCTTCCCCTTACAGCCCATAAGGGAGTGCAATCTTGGACTCAACATCCAATTTCAACTATATATCTTATCTTTCACTCCCACCTTCCGATCGTGCTCTTTTTTGTCATCAACATCTATTCCACCGGAGTAGAGAGATGAATTGGCAAATTCTAAGTGGAAGGCAACTATGGTAAAGAAGATGGGAGTCCTTAAAAAAAATGATACATGTGGCCTTGTAGTTCATCCTGAAGGAAAAACAGAGTGTAAATGGCTATTTACCATAAAGCGTGATAAAGATGGATCAAGAAAAAGGTATAAAGCTTGGTGGCCAACGGTTTTACCCAAACATACGAAATTGATTATAGAGAAACATTTGCAATAGTGGCTAAGATAAATTCCATTAGAGTGTTGCTCTTTTTGGCAACAAATTTGGGATGGTCTCTTCAGCACATGTGGAAAATGTCGTGCTTTAAGATGACTCGGAAGAGGAAATGTATTTAGATCCTCCTCCTAGTCTTCTATCCCCTAGAACGAAGGTTTGTACTTGAAGATGTCTATTTATCGCTTAAAGTAATCTCCTAAAGCATGGTTTGAGAGGTTTACTAAAGCTATGTAAACATATGGGTATAAGTAGAGTCAGGCTTATCACACCCTCTTTATCAAACACAAGGAAAGTTAATGTTCTTGTAGTTTATGTAGATGATATTGTTATAACTAGTGATGATACTGAGGAAGTGAAAACCTTGAAATCATCCTTGGCCAAGGAATTAAAGATAAAGGACTAGGGCAACTTAAAATACTTTGCTCTGATGTATTTTTGATTAGGATTCTTATTGTTTTAAATTGTCTTTGGTTGGGACTTATTGTCCAGCTTTGACATGCCTTTTGTAACTGTCCCTTTTTTTTTATATTAATAATATTATATTTTCCTATAAAAAAAAGAATTAGGTACCTTAAAATACTTTCTTGGGATAGAGGTTGGAAAATCAGATAAAAGAATATCTATTTCTCAACAAAAGTATATGTTGGACTTGCTAAAAGAGACAATGATGCTTGGTTGCAAACTATGAGATACCCCAATTGAGCAAAATCATAAGTTGGGAGAGAATAGTGATACAAAGGTTGATATAAGTCATGTGGGATTTATCCCTCATGAATACCATAATCTTAGCATAGATGACCTACTTTTGACCGGATTGAAAAGTAAATTAGTCGAACTGCCCATAAATTGCCCCGAGCACCTCTTACCGTTGAACCTTAAAAAAAAAAAAAAAAAATTTAATATAGGTAGGTATCAAAGACTTATGGGTAAGCTGATTTATCTCTCACATACCCGACCATATATTGCCTATGTTATAAATGTAGTGAGTCAATTTATGCATTCTCCACGGGCGCCCCACTAAGGCTATCTTAGAATTCTTTGATATCTAAAGTCAGCACCTGAGATTGGAGTTAACTTGGTGACTTTGCATAGTAAGAAACAATATCTAGGGTCAAAGCCGAGTATAGAGCAATGACACATGGGTGTGAAAGCTTTTGTGGTTAGGAAATATATTGATAAAACTTGGTATTGATTCATTTTGCCCAATGAGACTTTATGATGACAATAAAGCGGTCATCAATATTGCTCATAACCCAATTCAACACGATCGAACAAGACACATTGAAGTAGATGGACATATTATTAAAGAAAAGCTAAGCTCTGGTTTTATTTGCACTCCTTTTTGTGAAGACCGGAGAATAGTTAGCTAATGTTTTGACTAAAAAGGGTATCAAGTAAGGTGTTCCATGACATTTTGTACAAGCTGGGCTGCACTCGCTTAAGAGGGAGTGTTAGAATATGCAAAAATTAGAATGATGGGCATCTTTGGTATTTTGACATAGTACTATAAATAAAGAAGAGTGTAGGAATGAGATAATTCATTTCGCTCTTTTCATGAAAAATTCTCTTCCTCTCTGTTTCTCTTTTCCTTTTCTTATTCTTCTCATACACTAATATTGCAACTACTGTATTTCAAATATCTTCTACTTGTTTCGGTGTGGCTTTCTTTTTCTTTTTTTTCTTTTTTTTGGATCAAGAACAACGGAAATTTCATTGATGATAAGAAAACAACACATGAGGGACAAATAGTCCACCGCTAAATAGAAAACATAAAACAAAATATGCACAAATTACATATTACATTCAAATCATGTCTTGATGTTCTAGGGTACTTTTTCTATCTCTTTCGTTTCTAGTATGCTCAATTTCCAATGCTACAGATTTTGTGCAGCAGTTCACTCACAAAATCTAAAGCAAAAGCCTTGAAACTATTGTTTATAATCCCTAACCCAATTCCATTTCTTTGATCTCTAAACATATCACTACTCTATTGTTATTCAACACTATAATAAGAAAACTTTAGGTTGTCCTACATCATAGAAAGAAGATAAGGTTACCAAATATTGGGCACTAGGATACAAGTCTACAATGTCTCGGGACAAGTACTCCAGGACAAAAGTTCTCAATCATTACTACAACTAAACGAAGCATCAAAGATCCTAAGCATAGCATTGAGTTTGGAAATGGGAGACAACGTAACGAGACCATCTTGAAGGGGCAGGTACCAGTTCACTTCCCAATGATTAAGGTGGTTAAGAAACATAAGGACACCAAAATATGCAAGTGCTAATAGTTCTAAGAATTTCAGTCAACGGCAAAAATGTTAACTCCTTCGGAACAGTATTGTGAGCGTGCATTGCGGTGAACAATCGAACAAGAAAGAAAATCAATGATACAATGATTTACACGATTCGGTAGTAATTCCAACTATGTCCACGAGAGCAGTTGTTTCGTTACATGACAATCCCAACAAGATTACAACCTATATATGGCAACCAGTTAAAACCCCTAATTCCTCAACCACTGTAGGCCTATATCAGGATCCCGTCTCAAGTCCGTAGTTTTTTATCTTGATTGTGGATGAATTAACCAAACACATTCAATGATGTGGATCTATGGTGTCTATTGTTTAGCGATGATAAAATATTGATTAACGAAGTTACAGTATGAATTATCAATAAACTATAAATATGAAGAGAAACTATGGAATCAAAAGGATTTAGGATATGTAGATAAAACCAAATATATTATAGAAAATACAATTTTAGTAATAGTTGAAATTCAAATAGTGAGGTAGTAAAAATTGGTTATCAATAGATATCAAAGAGCAAACATTATCAGTATTTAAAGTCAATTATCCATTGGGTGGGAGAGATGGGATAGGATGTTAATCATATTTCAAAGCAACATGAACTAAGTGGATGAGTGCATCTGGCATATTATGTACTTTCCTTACGGTACAAAATGTTGGACAACCAATAAACAACACAATTAAAAACTAAGTGTTACAGAAATTAGGATATTAAGATAAATGTGTGATAAAACAAGAAATAATATAATTAGGACAGAGTGTCCTTGTGAAAAGTAATACGAATAAAAGATAAAATCGACTTAGGTGGTTTGGACACACCTAATAATAAACCAATGATGAAGAGTGATTACTGATTTGATATATATTAATGATAGTGTGAAAGGTACAAATAAGTCAAAAATAATTTTGAACGAAATAGTAAAAAAATATGATAGCTTAGATTTAACAAAAAATATGGACTTTGATAGAGCACAATAAAAAAACAAAATTTATATCGTCGATTCTAAATAATCAGGGCAAATGCTTTGTTGAGTTGAGTTGAAAACCGTCAATCCCAGTTAATCACATAAACCTAATCTGAGTAAAAGTAATATTCTAATTTCTAGTAAAATTTATATACCAAATATACATTGGAAATTTTCAATATATCCATACGGTACCGGGGAGCTATGCCCCTCACAACCTCCAACCTAATATTCAACCCTGGCAAGTAACAATACATATTGTTGATCCCATGTTGTCATCTTTATCTTCAACTTGTCCCCAAGATGCTACATTGGTTAATGCCTTATTAATTAAACTATAGATGGGAGTTCCAAATCCCATCTGGAGGGTCATTACCAAAAGCCAATGGACTCTCATCCTCTTCAACTGCCTCGGCCAGGATCTCCATTCCAAAATGTTTCCCCAGCCGGCCATCTCCCAGTTCCCCTCCCTTGTTGTCCAATTCTAAATTCCAAGTCCATATGCATGTTAAATCGCAAAAAAGGTGTTCCAAACATACCCTCCCATAAACAAGGATGACTTTATCGTATGCATGTTCTTGCTAGATGGGGTCAAATTACAAATTCTATCCGAAACCCAATTACGAGTACTGAACTCAACATGCTCGAAAAGTTACATACATCTACTAAATCAAGAGGTGACAAAATTAGAAAACATTAGCAACGACGCGATGCGAACGACCGCTCCAGTCCAGCATTTTAGTGCTATACTCGATGTCAGTTCCCTAACCTAAAGCTCTTCCAACAAATACGCAAAATTTAGGCAAGCGCATTCCAATAGGCATGGTCTCGTGAGATTGAACGCGAGTTAAAGAGATAGGAATCAGAGTGATACCTTGATGTAATAAGCTTTCTTGATCTCTGCCTCGGTGGCCGTAGGACTAACCCCCAGGACATCGTAGTACTCCGTCTCCTTCACCATCGATCTCAGAGTTCCTTTCTGCCTCTTCTTCCAATTGAACAAACAATTGAATCAATTACAATTACTGAAGGAGTAAAAAGTAATTGCAATCGAAAGATTGAACAAGTTAAAAGGCAACTATGAGATAATAAGTAAAGAAAGGTCTCTCGGAAAACAATCGCAGTACAATGGGTTGGGATGAAGATGAACAAATGAATGAATGAATTGAACTGGGAAAAGACAGGATACGCGAAATTGCCCGCTTGTTTGACCTCTAATTTCTACGCGTTGACTACCGCCGACACCGGCCCCACATAGTCCTTTTTTATAATTTTGGGCTATATCAACTTACACCTGAAAAATGAATCTTAATTTACATTCAAAGTTTAAAAATACTAAATATTGATCGATGCGTATCTGGGACTAAATGTACTGTATTTTGCCATTACAAAAGTTTGGGTTAATTATGAATTGCACCATTCAAAGTTTAAATCACATTTATGATTTAAAAAATATTTCAGCAATTAATACTTGTTAAATAGCTCTTAATTGTATTGTGTCATAATATTTTCGTATCGTGTTTAAGTCGATAAAAAAAAATTTAGCACAAAAAATATTTTTCGTGTCAAGTCAATTACATTGTGTCATATATTTCACATTTATTTTTTGCTTATAATATTCATTACATAATTATTTTCTATTTACAATTGTGTTATTTGTGTCTAACTTTAATTTGATCGTACAAATAAAAGATTTGTGTCTAACTGTAGACAGAAAAGTTATTTAACGAGCATTAATAGATGGATTTGGAGCATAAAAATAAAATATTTAAATTTTAAAAGGTATAATTTATAATTAGTCCAAACCTTTTAAACCGCAAAATGGACAGAGTTAATTTTAGATGTACATTGATACAAATTTATGTCTTTTAGGATATAAATTAATATTTTTAAACTTTGAGGGTAAAAATTAAGATTTATTTTTCTTTATATTAAAATTTGAGTTGATTAAATTCATTTTCTTACGTATTAAAATTTGAGTCGATTAAAATTCAATTCGAGTTGATTAATTTTATATTTTTATATATTAAAATTCGAGCCTATTAAAATTCTTTTTTTTTTTGCGTGTTAAAATTCGAGCCAATTTAAGGTATATCTAAACTGTTAGCGCAAATTAAAATTCGCTTCGAATTGATTAAAATTTATATTTTTTTAGTTATTAAAATTCGTGTCCATTAAAATTCGATTCAAATTGATTAAATTTTATTTTTTACGCATTAAAATATGAGTTGATTAAAATTTATATTTTTAATGTATTAAAATTCATATTTTTTATGTATTAAATTCGGGCCGATTAAAATTCAATGCGAGTTGATTAAAATTTGATTTGAGTCAATTAAAAATGAATTTTAATTGGCTCAAATAAAATTTTAATATATAAAAAATATAATTTTTAATCGACTCAAATACTAATACGTAAAAAAATAAATTTTAATTAACTCGGATTGAATTTTAATTGGTCCAAATTTTAATACATAAATAAATTTAGAAATGGTGGAGGTCTCATTAAAAATATGTCTATTTAGAGAAGTGTAAATAAAGTTTTTCCTAAAATTTATTATCGACAATTTAATAAAAATACATTCTAATTAATACTTTTAATTTGACGGGAGTGTCAATGATATCAAGTGAAATTTCTAAAATGGTAAAATATAAAAAATAATATTTAAGGGACAGTCCCATTTTTAGCACGCATGTATTTTGCAGATTGTGATCTCTTGAATCATGGGACCAATTTGACACACCCCACAATGACCTGCCGCTGACATTTTCCTTCGCCCGAGGTTGTCCATCGTTGGTAATGCATTTGAACGATAGTAATATTATTTTGACTAAATTTTGGGATTAAATTTTGAGTTTAAGTTAGATGTCATGTTATTTGAATTTTAAATTTAATCTCAAAATTTGGTCAGTGTAACATTACTCTTTGAACGAACACCCCACACAAAAATCAATACAAGGGATATAGATTCTGTCTATTATATTTTTATTCAAATTCACACAATGCTAGATTATGCACGGCAATAAATAACGGTGCATAATCTAGCATTGATCAATCTAAATAGCATCGATGATTTATAACACTCTACAAGGTTTTGAGGGTCTTTTTCTTTTTTGTTTTAAAAGTCTAATGATATGACAACATATTATTTAGAATATTTATTGAAGCTCAAATGACATAACATCAAATAAAGAAATTTGAGTCAACTGTCATGTCCTTTGAACTCTTAATCTCAAAATTTGGTCAATATAACATGACTGCGAATACATTATTTCTTCTTTTGGGGCACTAGTTGGGGTTTGAGTTCCAGTTGCATCATATTTAGCAAGTTGAAGCATATTCTTTGCTTTGTACTTATCTATGGATATCAAAGAACAAAATTCAAGTGCGGTCATTCCAGAACGCTGGGGCTAAAATATATCAATTTGTCAAGACAGGAAATTCAAAAAGGGCATAAGAGATTGCTGCGTAAATCTTTGGTGGGTAAAGGTTGTAATACTTGATAATGGTTTCCATCTATTTAAACTGTAGAAAGTACACGGAAAAAGCTTTAATATTTTTGTGTGTTGAAGATCGACATCAGGTGCTTTCATTGCGCTGATGTTTTCTCAATCCCGACTGCATTCACTTCATTCAGATTTCAGAATGCACTTCATTACACAGAACAGCACCAGACTTCACCCTAACCTCTGCTAGTTTTTATCATTCTCTACCTATGATGATGAGGATAGGCTTGGGTTTCCTTTTGTAGCATCCGTCTGCCCTCAACTTCTTGGTGGTATATGTTGTGGATTTTGTATGAGGATACATACTCTTGTGGTTTTCATTCATTTGCCTTGTGTGGACAGAGTATGTTGGTGCAACTCCAAGAGCGGCTCAATTGTCTGCCACATAAAAAGAAATAGGTTAGTCCTTTTTCTTTAAGAAACTGCAGCTTATAATAAAGTGAAGATCTGGTGCTCCTTTTCCTCTCTACTGCACGATAGATATTTACAACTTACGCGTCCATTGCACTGTCTGGCAATTGGTGATTTCTAGTAGCCTTTGAGTGCCCCCCCTGGAACTTAGGGATTTTCCTCGCCTTTCTTTCTCTTTCTCTTTCTCTGTTTGCCTTCTCAAACAATATATCTTGACTGTATGGTTCTACACTTACATCACTTTGTGGAATCGAGGACAATGACAACCACTGGTGTTTAAGCTTGGTGGCTGTCATGATATGGGCTGTGTCTATTGAGGTTTGGTCCGTTGTTAAAATATCCCTTTCAGGTTCTGCACATGTATCAACTTGGTTTTTCTGAGTCCATAATCTGAGAAAGGGTAAGACCTGTTGGGGCCGAGATGCATGTGTCTCTTTTCCTTCTGATGGACTTCTGTCTTGCCCTGAATAAAATAAGCTGTCTTTCAACTTCATGGCCCTTTGGTTCTCTGATGAAGAAGATGACTCCTGAGCTGTAATTCCGCGTGTTGCAGCTTCAGTGAGAAATGTTCTCTGCTGCTGGTTAGGATTAATCACCTGGCTTTTTATGGAGATCCTAGTTTCTTCAATGATCCCAGAGGCAGGTTCAAGGCTCATATTCACGGTAACAGGGCATCCGATGGCGTTTTCAAGGGCTTTTGATATACTTTGTTCTGAAATTTGGGCTGCCTCCTTGTCCACAGAGCTTTTGAACATTAAATGAACAATTGCATTGGCTGTTGTAAACGGGTAAAATTACATGGTTTAAAACGAACCCATGGGAAAAGATTGTGACAAAACAATTGGTTTTTCTTATATATAAGGCTACTGAGTAGTGAAAATTGCCTTACCCCTTGATACGGATAATGACGCAAGCTCCACTCGATGGCATAAGAATTTTTTCAGATGTTTATTCTGTATCCTTTCCACTATATTCTGCCAAATCTTTTCCATGTCACTCATGTGTGCTTGTTTGGGTTTTTCTTCGACTTCTTTACATCTGCCTTCTGATTTATCATTGCTTTTCACAGAGGTTCTGCTGATCGAATGATGATCTGTGCTACTGTGGGGTAATCGTTGCAAGTGAATATCTCCTGATTCTGCGTTTGGATTGTCACCTGTTAGAGCAAACATAACGTGTGAGGTTATTAACTTCTACTCATTTGCCAGAACTCGTCTACCACTGTGTTGAAATACATTTCTCCATCCTTGGACTGCCAAAATACCTGAGGGTAGCGTTACATTTCTACTCGAGACAATTCCTGTTGATGTTCGATCGCCGAAATGATCAGAAGTAAGCTCTAGAAGGGCGGCACATATTACAGATGCCTGGTCTGTTGAGGACTCGAGTTGCTTTTCTGTTTCGATCATTATCGTTAAGGCATAGCACAATCTCTGTGATTGGGTATTTGCTGCAGAAAATTCTATAGGGAATCAGCAGGAGTAAAAATGTTGCAGGTACTATATGTGGATGGAGTTATCTTACTGATAAGAGATTTGCTTCTGAACAAGTTCCTATCATCTGATGACCCCGATGATGACATTGAATCTGCAGCAGCGGCTCCTGAAAGTATGTCTGTGATGAGTGATGCTAATTGGGATACAAGGGCTCGAGGTTCAACACCTGTTGCGATCAGTTCCTTTGTCAGTCTGATAGTCTGGATAGTGTCCTCTGAAACTGCTGCAGTGAGCAAGTCAATAAGCTTACTGTGGGGAACAAGGCCTACCTGTACGGAGAAGAATAGGCATAAAAAGAAAAAATAATTTGACAGTAATTCCAATTGATTTTGAAGACTTTGAATTGAGAAAGAAGAAGAAAGGACCACGCACAAGCTGTTGAACCATGGAGCTACTGATTGTTGACCCCAGTAAGGCTAACTGGTCCAATATGTTCTCAGCTTCTCTCAAGGAGCCCTCTGACTTGGCAATTATTAGTTTCAGTGCTTCCCGTTCAATTCCAATATCCTCCCGGGCCGCTATTTTTGTTAGCTTTAGTGCGATATCCTTGTCCTTGAGCTTTGGGAAGCAGAATTTCTGGCATCTGGATGACATGTTTTTGGGCACCTTGTTTGCATCTGTTGTGATGAGGACAAATATCACTGTAGAACCAGATGACCGTTCAACCATACCCAGAAGTTCATCCCATGCTTTTCCAGTAAATGAATGGCATTCTTCAATGATAAGGACCTTGAAAACTGGGACTGCCTGATTGAATGATGATGTGTCATGGAAGAGGGTCTTGATCCTTTCAAATCCAGTTGTTCTACTTCCAGAACACAACTCCATGATATAAAGGCTTCTTGAACAGCCTCTGCAACTCCAGCATGGTTTGGTGGGTGATGTTGACTCACAATTTATTGCCATCGCAAATATTCTGGCAGTGGATGTCTTCCCAGTTCCACTTGGGCCATGAAAGAGATAAAGAGGTGCAAATTGCTTCTTCTCAACAGCACTATTCATAGCCTTAACAATGATTTCATGACCTGCAATGTCTTGGAAAAGCTTTGGTTGGTACTTTAGACTAAGACTGGTTTTTAAGAGGATCTTACCCTTGCTTTGGTAAGCAGAATTGAAGCTGAGGTTACGGGAGTCCCAGTTCTTACGATCATTTTCTTCCTTTGAAATCACCTCAGATGAGAAGACACGGTCTTTTAGATATTTGGTTTTTGTAGCTGTTCTTTCTTTATCGCTATCTTTGAGCCTTCTGCCTATTTGAAAGATTACTTTTCTTGTTTTAATTCCTCTACGCATTCCAGACCACCGAACACTAGAGCCCATGCTATTGGACTTGAGGCTGATCATATTTTTCTCTTTTTGCTCTGGAAGTTCCAAGGCCTTCTCGATTGTGGATGGACTACTGGAACAGTTCACTGATGAAGTGGAAGATCTGCGCCAATTGTTTCTCAACAATCTCCATCCTTCTGTGCCATCTGTTTCATTTGTGGGATCAGCCCGGGTAGAGTCCTTTTGGAATGGGCGATGGGGCAAAACAATAGCTTGGGTGGCCATTGGGTAGGGAGAGGGAGCCTGTGCCCGTGTAAATCTGTATGGAAGATGAACAGATAATTTTGTATTGTTGAAAGTTATAGTGGTAGCATGAGATAGGTTCATGCGAGGCCTTCAGTGGTGGCCGGCCACCACTGGGATTATAAATATTTATGAAGTACTAATGAACGAATGGAGTTTCTTGATGATGAGTCAACCTAGCTGATAGTTCAGCAAGCAGGCGATTTCTTTGGCCGGCTATGTATAGAAGCAGCCTTGTAATCAGGTATTGACTATACCAATAAAGATGTCTGAATAACAAAAAATAAAAAAGAAAAGAAAAGAAAAAGAATATAACGTATGGGTCTCCATCACTCTTTGAGTCATTATATTGTAATGTCCGAAGAAATGCTTGGAAGACCAATGTGGGCTGTAAATCATTCTGAATACCTAATAGCATTGCTCCACCTACACGTTGATCTGTTTCCAAGTGTTCTTTACACTGGTGTGAGCTGTTCCGCTCTGGAAGCTTGTGACCTGATGTTGGGTTTTGTCATTCTTTCATGTGTAAGGTGCAGAGAGAGAATGCTCTCTCCCTGTCCTCCCTTGTATTTGCTGCCCACGTGGCATTTTTTTGTGCTGCTGTTGGTGTAGTTGAGGTAGACATAGCTGTGTTTTGGATCCATTTGAGAGGGAATCCAGTGGGTGGTGGAGGAGGTTTTCTTCTATTTTCACAAGGCTAAGGATACCATTAACTATACTTTGTTTGAGTTCTGCAAAAATCGACAGTTCATACTCATAGCAAGCATACAGAAAGTATTATGCATTTTTTTGCCACGTATGTAAAAAATGTTCTTTTTCATGTATACAAAAAGTCAACTAGCTGATCGGTTCCTCGTCAATTAGAGTTGTCCCAAACGCATTCAGGAAAAGCTTATGTGGTCTATATTGGTCCTCTTCATTTCCTCCCGCTCGACCTCCTTCACTCTCTCCCACGGTTTGATTGGACTATACCTTTAGTACCAAAATGATTGATCAACCGAGCGAGTGTAATGGGCTAGCACATATCATACAATTGAATCGCATGTTTCATGGACGCCCACAAGCAAAAAAAATTATTCAATATTTGACATTAAGTACTCTCAAACCACCCTCCCTCCAACCCCAAACACCCACCCACACCAGAAGAAAACACATTGACAAAAACAGAGAGAGGTTCCTCCATAAAATTACCATCATAAGTTGGGGAATCACATATGCTAGTAAGATAAGACATATCATCCCATCACGAGAAACTGATGCAACAAAATCATCACTTGTCGGACTGGAAGCCCCACCCCACAATTTTTGTTTGAAACATATGGAATGCAAAATGGATAGGACCCAACTTTTGTTTGGTGGACAACAAGTTACATTCACTCGAAGCTAAATGAGTAAGATTTTGACTGTTCGGTAACATTAACATTTTACTTACACTATGCGAGCAAGCTGATAAAATGCTCTCACTCCACATAGCCACAAATCATGTGATTGAGTTTTCATCTTTTCTTGTACATGTTTAGAAAATATATTCAAATCAAATATAACATGTAAATGTTTACAATTCTTATGAAGTCGGAGCAGGAACTGTTGATGGAGCTCGGAGGACTTGTTGCAGTAAGCGTGCTGCAAGACGTTGAGTAATTCCACCAAATACACGGCCTCCAAGATTGCGTGCCTCAGGTTCTTGAAGCACCTGTTCATGAATGCTTCTACAGTTAGCTTGATTAATAATACAGACAAGAAGTATAATTGTTTCGATACATGAAAAAAATGATACATATCTGATTTGTACCGTATCGTGCGATACACAATATGATACACCCGATGCCAGACAATACATACGAGTCGTTCAATACGGGCGAAACAGATCAAAATTCTTTTTTTAACCAAACAACACGACCTTTTCACATGGAAAAAATTTATTTAAACACTAGGTAGTGAAATGACATCGCATTATCTAGGGTTTTAAAAAACAAGTCTTCTTTTATTATTGGAACAAATAGTTTGACTTTAATTGTTAAAAGTGCCCTCCTGTAGTTACTCTAGATGTTAGAATCAGAACTTTCAAAATTTTGATATTAATGAATTATGTTAGAAACTTGAATACTTAAATTGCTAATTTTTTGTTTTTGTCCTTATAGTCTCTTCAAATTATTTTATGTGAGAAATTTGTGATGCAATAAAATGTTATTGTAACCTTTTTTTTTCATAGGTATATATATTTTTTAATATCTTTTATAAAACTGCATGTATCTTACAATTTCATGCCATAAACAGGTCATATTTGTACTGCGAATAGAATTCCTGTGTCACATGTTGTACTCATATTCATGCCATAGACAGGTCAAATAGGTTGATGCCAAAAATCCAACTTTAAGATAGCTACCAAAGCACACAATTATAGTGAGACGGCCCCCTAAGGATTTTAGTTATGACCTTCCTTAATTCAAGTTTTGAACCTCAAATATGAGAGGTTTCAGACTTTGGCGACACAAAAATAAGAGGTTTCTAAGACGTAAAATTTGAAATGAAGGAGGTTAGTGAAATTACCAAGACCACATGGAGTATTGCTATTTCCATAAACCCAGGATAGGTCAGTGACGTTCACCAATCATATTAGGATGTTTTGAGTCATAATTTATTTTAATTTTTCAATTTAGTATACAGCTGCAACAATTTTATTTATGTTTGATTGATATTTGAATTTTTTGGAATCAGGTATTGTAGCATAGCTGAAGACATGAACTAAGTCCTTGAGAATTTGTAAAACTTTTGCAGCTTTATGTGATGCTCAAGGGTTTGCTGATGGATAGAAGTGCAACAAGTAGGTTGCCAGGTGAAGCTGAGATGCAAGGAGGGTTGGTCTAAAAAGCAGGTGTTATGAAGAGTGGTAGATCAGCTCATTAATGGTGCTCTAATGCGCTTTATACATGGGTAGGGCATGGCACTGGGTTGGATTGAGCTAGGACCTCAAGTCCACATGTGATGTCAGGCCTGCCCAGCACTGAATGTCTATTAAACAAGGGCTCAGTGCCATACATGCCAACGTTATCTTGCGCATGTCCCATGTTAGGTGAATATACCTTGTTCCCCTAGACAAGATGATGACAAGGATACAGTGAACCGAATCCATGGCACTGCTTGCCCCTGACATAGTGAAGCCCGTCCTCTGTCAGTCTAATACCCTGACTCTCATTCCAGTCAAAAGGCATGAGGTGAACTCAGATGACTCTGCTAAGAAGGATAATGATGAAGCCGAAAGGACTCTCATTGACTTGAAGTTAGATCAAGAGGTATTTCTTCCCCTTCTACATTAAACGATTAATATTATGTCGTGGAATGTAAGGGTGCAAGAAAAAGCTGTTCTGAGAACAAGGCTTAAGAAGTTGATTAGTATGAAGAATGTTTGTTTTCTTTCTGTATTAGAACCAAAATTAAGTTCGGCTATGTTACCAGAATTTGCTTCAACTTTAAACCTTAATTTCTATGCTGCAAACAATCTGGCAGAAAAGAATACCTGGATTTTATGGGATCACAGAATGAATGTATAGGTGTTACTTTTTTGGGTTCATGAGCAGGCTAGGACTGTTCAAGTTACTTTTTTGGGTTCAAAGTCATTTATAATCACTGCCGTTTATGTTTCTAGCGATTCATATGGCATCATTAAATGGTACAAGTCTTGCATAAGAATCTATAATGTATTAGAACGTCCTAGTTGACGATCCTTTACTCCAACAGCATCTAGGGTTCTTCGAACAATGTGATATCTCGCACCGGGTAAATCCTTAACCTTCCCCCCTCTTACTGAAACTACAGAATGTTCTTGTGAATTATGGCCAATACCGGATATATAAATAGTAATATCAAATCCAGAGGTTAATCGTACTCGGGCAACTTTACGTAAGGCAGAATTTGATTTTTTTCGTGTGATAGTGGAAAAATTGACGGATAAATCACCCTTAATGCCACTCTATAGAAACATACATTAGATTTTCACCTCAATACGACTCCTCATTCAATTCCTTCAAAGTCATTGGACCCTTTTCCGCATTTGAGAATCTCCTCCATTCTTCCACTCCGTCCTGAAAAGTAACTAGGACCAATTTATTCTCGTTTTTATGTTCCAATTGAACACTTTCCTTTTTTTTTTTATTATTATTCTCAAAAGAGAAGATTATTTTCTTTACCAAATATATGCAGATCAAATCACGATCTTACAATAAGAACAAGAGAACTTTCTCGATCAATCCCTTTGCCCCTTATCCTTAGAAGGTCTCTTTGGCAACGTCTGTTGAGTTTGTAAATTTCCTCTTCTTTTCCATGGACGGTGGTAAGAGATTTTAATACTATTATAACTTCAGCTGGGAGACTACGAGTGTCTTCACCATCATTCTTAGCTATGAAGGATTTTAGAGGTTTTATTCAATCTGGTGGATTGATAGACTGTGGTTGTGGCAAAGATTAGACAGGGATTTAATAAACCCGTCCTGGAGTTTGATGTTTGAAAATGCTAAGGTAGAACATTTGGCTAGAATTAGCTTTGATCATTGTCCTCAAATAATCAAGATTTTTGAAAATCCAGTGCAGCCTAGAATAGTTTATTTAAAATTCCAAGATATGTAGACTGAGTATCCATCTTTTCTTGAAGTGGAAATATCTGAAAGCCCACTTGAAGTTGTGGAACAAGGAGATATTTGAGAATGTTTTTGAACAAATAAAAAAACAAGAGATTGCAGTATTAAATGCGGTGCAGGGTGTGGAGTAGGGTCCTCCTGTAATTTATTGTCTTTGGAGAATGCCAAAAAGGAGATCTACCGAAAACAAAAAGGCTAATATGAAGTGGGTATGGAGGGGGAAAGAAATACTAAACTCTATCATGTAGTAACAAAGGGCAAGACAGCCAGGAATAGAATCAGAAGGATCAACAATGACGAGGCGCAATGGGTTGAGAATGAGAGTTAACTGGCCATGTGAATTATGGCCCATATCGGGTATATAAGCAATGATTTCAAATCTAGAGGTTAATCATACTCTAGCAACTTTATGTAAGGCAGAGTTTGATACTTTTTGGTGTGATAGTGGAAAAATTAACAAATAAGTCACCCTTACTGTCACTCTACAGAATCATACATGAGATTTTCACCTCATATGACTCCTTGTTCAATTCCTTCGAAGTTACTGGATTATTTTCAATGTTCAAGAATCTCCTCCATTCTTCCACTTCCTCCCGAAGAGTAACTAGGACAAATTTAGTCA